GTAGAACCTGCTTTAAACAGCAAGTTTTGACTAGATGACTTCTCAGGTCCTCTCCAATGCTACAATTCTATGATTGTGTAGAATACCCCTTTCATATAAAACATTTAACTGATCAAGTGATGTGATAGCACATCAAGATAAGCACAAACCTGGGTTCAATATTTTTGGAGGTCGCAATGTCCTGGCTCACAGCAAGACATAGTTTGCATCTATTCAGTTGAGCTCCATCCAATATGACAAACCCCCTATAAACATTGTGGAAAATTCCAGCCCCGCTTAATCCCTAGGGTTTCTTAAAAATGACATTTCAGAAATATCCAAACAAGAAAGAATTAGTGTGATAAATGGCTTTCTTCTTGTGGAGGCCACGGCTGCGCCAGGAGTCAGCCAACAGGAGCAGCCCCAGCTGAAGGGCCACCCCCTGTTTCCCCTCTCTTCCGGGCTGCTACCTCTCTAAACACATAAGGCTTACTCAGAAGATTAGGAAAGAGCACAGCAAAAGACCACAGAGTGCCTTTTGTAATGGGAGTGGGATTAAGACACCAGGTGACCAGCTGTGGCTCCCAAGTGGGTTTTATGCTTCTTAGTGCACCAGGTCACTGTCAGGTTCAATCAGCCACACGCCACAGAGGTGGGAACAGGTGGAGTGTTAAGTGTGTTGCAAAAGAACTTTGCCAGAATCCGCACCAGGCCCATCTTCTCAGCTTTGAAGGAGACAGACAGAAGCTATTGTTGTAAGTAGCTCCTCTGTTGTTGTTCTATGTGGAGAACTTGTTCAATGTTTCTGTGTTTTTTACTTGGGCAAATATATTTGCGACAAAGGAGGGGAGTACAAACTCTATGTTAATCCACTCATTATTATGAGATGCATGCCTTGAAAAATGAATCTTTTGAAATGAAGAGAGGAGAAAAGGGACAGAACAGATCCTGCATTCTTTCAGGATGCATAAAAGGGACGGGAGCTTCAGCAAGGCAAGCCTGGTCTGCTCACATTAGTATGTTCATATTCATCCTGCAACCTTGTATAAAGTGGATCATTTTGGAGTACCTGGTCACCTTGCTGACAATCTAGGGTTGTGTTGTTTAATTTTGTTTGGTGAATCATTGGCTTTTTCCATTTTTATTAGAGTTCTCCAAAAATAAATATTCTTATTAAATATTTACATTGAATTATATTAATTAAATTAATAATTATTTTGAACTTTTAGGAGCTTCTTCCTTCTGCACCTAAATAATCATTTTTAAATTACAATTGGCTTGGTATGATAAGATCTTTAAAACATTTTGAATCTAATAGCTTCTGTTTGAGAGTATGAGTCTTTGCGCCAGACTGCCAAATCAGCGCCAGGGGGGGGGGGGACACAACATCCTATCAGAATACGGTATATATAAAATATTATATTTTATAGATCTCAGTCACGATTCCATGTGAAAAATCCACACCTGAAATCAAGAGAAAAATCTGTTTTTACCACATCGGCTGTATTTAAGAATGTCAATGTAGACTGTACCCTTATAAGAAAAAATGAAAGTTTTAAAAGAAGATGGATTTGTGTTGTATACTTTTTGAAGTGACAATCTTTTTTTAAGATTATCTGCCATGATAAGATAATTTATAGGATCGTTGGTCATAGAATTGGTCACTCCTTACGAGGAATTTGCCAGAAGAGAGTCTTGCAAAAGAAATCATTACAACTATATGATCTAAGATTGATCTGTCTACCAATCAGCTGAGCAGCCTGCCTTTTTTTTACCTTTAGATAATATCGTGATCATTCCCTCATCAGCTGTCTCTTTCTCTCTCCCAATGTGTATGTGTGGGAGAAGGAGATCTTGGGCTTTAGCATTGGTCCACAGAAAAGGTATGCATTGGTGATCAAAGGTACTTCCCATTGTGGATTTTTACTATCAAAAAGTGGGAATGTCGTTTTTCCTGCCATAATAGATATTTTTTTGTTCCAAAGGAGAAGGGAGTAGTGGAAGAAACAGCAGGGTTATCAATGGAAAATGAGGTTTGCCTCTCTGCTTATAAAATTCTGTGAATGGAATGGGTTAGTTTTGTCCTGAAGTATCTTTTGTCTCTTCTTCTCAGCTCTGCAAGATGCAGTTAAAAAGAATATCCTATCTGCTAAGAGACTATCCTTCCTTCTTAGCAGCCTTCACTCCAATAAGCTGAAGGACTTAACTGTAGCTCTGCTGCATTACATACAGGAGGCAGTACAGCTTTTCAGTCTGCGCTTCTGTTCCTAGAAATATCAACTGGCAAAAATTCGTGGGTGTTATTTTCACAGACATGATTTGAAGTTTTCCATGTTTGGTAAAAAATAAGAATTCTGCATGTGAGTTTCATGGCAGCAAATTTACCTGAATGCAGTGGAAAAACAAAAGAAATAATAAAATATCTACACAAAGCAGTAATATTTGTAAATGATTCTCAAGTCTGCATGAAAAGCATGTTTTTATCATTACTCTATTATTTATACCCCTACCTTAAGATTCTTGCAGATAACCATCCAACATTTAAGAACTGAGTAATCTGCATATCTGAAATATTCTAACAATTCATTTCTATTTGTAAAACAGATGCCCTAAACATTATTCTCTTTCAGGGTAAGCAGTGATAGACAAAGAGTAAAAAAATAGTAAGAAACAGTAAGCTGAAAAGATTAAAGTATGAGATAAGAAACAGAAGAAAATACTGATAAATTTGGCTTGCATCAAATCATTGATTATACTTCTTGGTAACCTCTTATGGACTTGCTGAAATTGGAAAAAATGAATTGGTGATTTATGGATTTGCTAATTAAAAAATGTTGAATATGGGATAAAGAGGACCATGTTGTAACTTTAAAGAGGGAGGAGAAATAATGATGTTGTTTGTAACTGTTGTAAAGAAAATTGGAAGCTGCTTCTTTATGCCCTATATATCTTTCCTTTTTTTTAACCTACAATGTCTTTTCTACTTCTTATTTTCTCTCTTCTTCTTCATTAATTTAATTCCATGTAATTTTCTATTGATCTTTTACTTATGCGGAAATTTTTTTTTTAAATCTTTCATTATACTTTTCCTTATCATTTTGTCTCCAAGACCATTCTTTCTGATTCATACATTGCCTCTTTAAATTTGGGCTTCTTTTTCCAGAAAGATCAACTCCATCTAACAAATTAGTAAGTCTTTTCTTTCCTCTTCACCATTTCATTCTTCACCATTTCATTCTTCTTTAATATATTTCTTTGGAAATTTGATCCTTGTTCCTTCTCCATATAGGCACAAACAACTCACTTTTCTATTCAGCACCCATTAATTCTTGACACCGCCCTTTCTTGTTTTATCACATACATACTTCTTACATAACCCATTCCTACTGCATTCAATTAACTTAAATATTTCTCCTGATATACACAATTTTTGCTTCCAGATAACAATGGACAGTTTCAAGAGCATTTTCATACACACTTCTTTTGTCACTTCTTTTGACAAACATGTATTCTTTACAATAGCAGATCGCATACTACCCCCTAGCTTTCTACCAGCATTGCACTTCTTAAAATGTTCTAAGAGCCATTTCAATTTCAAGCAAAATATAAATGTTAGATATGAGGGAAGGTGGGCATTTAAGAAGTTAAATAAATAATAAATACTCCCATCTTTAGTAAACATTTTAGTAAGGCATACAAAGTCATTTACTTCCTCCAGTTTTTCCCCATTTATATATAATATATAATTTAATATTTCTGGGGGCTGGTCATCATATCTCTCCAGCAAACTTTAGGATGAAACACAGTATAAACATTAGAACTTTATGAAAAGCATGTAATCCATTATGTTGAGCAACTCCAGGCATGATGCAAGTGAGCCAGGAGAGCTGTCTCAAAGGAAAATTATGACATTTGCATAATCAAGGGGGGAAATGATGTCAAACATTGCATTCTACCTTAATCATTTGTCCCTTGTGTGCTTCTTTGAGACAAGGACACAGTGTAGAAATTGTCTCCCATCTCATACTTTATTTTTTCACTCTGCAATACAGAGTGGACAGAATCACCCACTCTAGTCATTGTTAGCCAAAAACAGTACTTCAGAGCAGTGTTGCTGATTGCTTGGGGCAATGTAGAAAAGGCCCTTTGAGGGATCAACATGCTTTAATCTTCCTTTTAAATCTGTAAACTTTTTCCTGGGCAGCAGTTCCAACCAGAGTCATGGTACTGCCTAATAAATGACTTTTTCTGCATTGCCTTTTTTTTAAAAAAAATTCTGAGCTTCAATTATGCCCCAATTTGGAGAAGTTTCTCTATAGCAAGGGTGTCAAACTCACATCGTCACTGCAATGTCACGTGACAATCAGGACTTTTTCCCCCTTTGCTAAACTGGGCATGGGCGTGGCCAGCATGTGACACTTTTCATGTTTGTCTGCAGAAAACTCTGTGAAATTTTGAACACCGTTTTGGTCTCTGAAATAGCCTAAAAACACCATGGGTTGATGTATGGGCTAATTGGTTTGCAAATACTTTAAAATACTGTTCATGTGCCATTTTCATCAGATTTTTTTTTCATTTTCTGGAAAGTATTTTATAATATAAGGAGATATAGAGCTAGTCTTTCTCTCCTCCCCCTTTCTTTTTTTTTCTTTTTCTTTTCTTTTTCCCCTCATTTTGTCCAGAGGCTTGCTATTTTACACTGACTAGAACTCTTGCCTGATCACTTGTGGATGAATTTTGGAAATAAATTGGGATCTTATGCATTAGACTAGGATTATGGCTGCCCACACTGGATATAAGATTTTTACAATGTATGGTATATCAGGAAGAATTGAGCTGGACTTAGCCCAAAGTTTGCATTGACCATTATTTGAGATAGTGTACTTGAAGATATATTTATGTATGATGGACTCTGTTTCATTCTTGAGTTTGAATGTTTTGGGATGATGGTAATCTTTTTACAGGTCTTTCTTCTTGTTTAATTCTTTCCATGCTGCTGTTTGTTTCTAGCAGGCCCTGTGATGACAGTGACCTACACATACCGTGTAGCTGAGGCCCGCCTGGGCACCTTCTCACAGCTTCTGCTACAATGGAAAGGCAGCATATACAAGCTCCTCTATTGTGAGTTATTAATCTTCGTATCACTTTATTTTGGCATCAGCCTCATCTACAGGTGAGCATTTCCAGTTCTCTAAACCTGAATTTGTGTGTGTGTGTGTGAAAAATAGATCAGTAGGGCAGCTTTGTTCCTCTTAGTCTGGTTGTTACTTCTGTATCTTCTGAAGATGTATAGTGAGCCAATGCCTTCAAAAATTGTTTTCCACTCTCTGTTCCTCATGCACTTCTTAGCAGATAAACTGCGTGGTCTAATCTTAAACAACAGTACTTGTTTCTAAGAGCACATTTCATTAAAAAGATTTTTCTTTGGAAGGTAATTTCATACAATGTAATCTCCCATTCCTTATTTCTTTTTTTCCTACAGCTTCTTTTTTCCCCATAAAAATGTTTAAGATGTGCTGTAACAGAGTTTAAGGATTTGAAACAATACAATTGCAAAATAATAATGGTAAATTCATGTTTCCAGATTGAAAATTCTTTCTCCCCGCCCTCCCAGCAGCATGTAAAAATAAATAAATATCCCCCCCTTTTCTCTGACCATCTGATCCTAAAAGCAGCAGATACTTGCTTTTTTTAAAATACACAATATTTCTCTGTAATGGCTTTCCCTTTAGATGGCACCCTCTGTAATGGCGCCCTTTAGATGTGTCAACCTCAGCCACCAGAATTTCCATCATGTGTGGCCATTGGTGCACATTCTGGGAACTGTCCAGATTAAAGAAGGCTGCTCTCTATAGCCTATTGTGGCAATTGCAATTCATTGTTACCATTCAGGCATACATTCTCACATGTGACCACTTTTTTTTAACAGAATCAAAATAGCCAGTGGATGATTGATAAAACAGTATCTGATCTGATACAAGAGATCTAATCAATAGTGGACCATAATTGCTAACATTCCTATAATAAATACCAAATAAATTACTATCTGCAGTAAAAATTACATATCCCTGGTTTAAAGAATAGTCTTTGATTGGTTAAAAAAGTGGTACTATCCTATAGCAAAAGTGCTGCATTAGCACATGTAACCTGTGTGGAACAAATAAAAAAGATTGTAATTTTGCAAAACCGCAATAACAATACTTAATCCCCAGTATTTACAGGAATGCACCTGAGTCTATATTTATAGAGCAATTAATATTTTGTTTGTTCTCACCAATAAGAAATGTTTTTTGCTGTTTTGAGACATATCACAGTGATGTGCTTGACTGCAGGTTAATTCTGAATGAGAGTCAAAGGCTGATGTTTGAAAAATTAGCCCTTTACTGCAATAGTTATGCTGAATTGATTCCTGTGTCTTTTGTCTTAGGTAAGATTGCAAAAATGTGAGACAAATGCTATGAATGTGAAGTCTCCCTATACATGTTAGTTAATTGATTTATCTACAAGTACTAGCTCTTAACTTTAGTGCTTAGGGCAGAAAATCCAAATGCTGTTTCTCATTTCCTATGTGACCTTTTTAAAATGAAGTATTAATTACTTAGTGTTTAATGAAAACCACTAAACCAAAGTCCAGTTGAATTGGCTGTCTCTAAGCTTACTTATAGTCCACTATCTCTAGCGGGTTCAACTCACTTCATTCTCAACAGAACAAAATAGAGTTTAAAAAATAAAGTCATTTGTGTTGAGGTCACACCTGGTGACTTCAGGGTGACTTCTGGTGACTTCTTCCTTTTTATATTGGTAACATTATGGAATCAGGTTATTGTTTTCTTTTTCTTTTTTCTTTTTTTGCTTTCCCCCAAAAGTGTAATGTAGCCCTTAGATTTTATTGCTCTTTTTAAAAAATGATCACAAGAACTGCAGAAGATGGGGAAAAGATGAATTATACTACTTTTGTTATTTTTAGTTTATAGCACTTGTGATGATTTACAAGCCTTTCCCTATTGCAGAATGTTACTGCAAGACAATTTTGCAGTGCCTCTTTATTTATGACCTGTGTTTTTATCTCCAGGTGATCAAAAGGTTGAAAAATGAATGGTAGTTCTCAGCAAGAGTTTAATCAAAGCATTACTGATATTATTTTGCCATTCAGGCAGTTATTTCCCCCAACGCAAAATCATCATCATCATCATCATCATTATTATTATTATTATTATTATTATTATTATTATTATTATTATTAT